TTAGGGTGGGACCAGGTTTGTTTAAGCTATAAAAAGGTGTTCAATGTCAAATATCATCAGATTGTGACATTGCAAGATTGTGATATGGAATTTGGGCATTGGGACATTGTGTGACAGTTTGGTAAATTCTTTTAACAAACACTTTTCATATCCATAATAAACATAATAAATGTAGTGAGATATATATATATATATATATATATATAGATAGATAGTTTAATGCAAAAAATACTATGTATAATTTAGTTTTTATGTAATATAAGTATTATACATAAAATCATATATATGGATTCTGACTAAATTGTAATTAAATTTAAATTTTACATATATTTAATCATTTTATGTATAATTTTATATTTTATGTACAATTAACAATTAAACTCTGCACACCTGACGGCAATAGATAGGTGCGTTGGAGGCAAAGACCAACCAAGTCAAAAAACTAAAAAGCAAAAAAAAAATCCTGCACACTATCTATGCAAAAAATATCAAAATATTTATTGACTACATTTCGGTTGCATGACCTTCATCAGGAATTATTTATATACAGAATATTTTATAGGAATATTTTATGTGCAGGAATACTATGTATACATTTTTATATAATATTTAAGTAGTATACATAAAATTATTAAATATACAGTGGGGCAAAAAAGTATTTAGTCAGCCACCAATTGTGCAAGTTCTCCCACTTAAAAAGATGAGAGAGGCCTGTAATTTTCATCATAGGTATACCTTAACTATGAGAGACAAAATGAGAAAAAAAAATCCAGAAAATCACATTGTAGGATTTTTAAAGAATTAATTATGTATAAATGTAATTACAATCTAGTCAGAATCCATTATATATAAGTGTGTGTGTGTGTGTGTGTGATTACATTTATTCTGACTCTGATTTTTTTTATTACATTTTAATTGAAAACACGTAATTGAATAGTTCAATATTAGTAATTTAGTCAATTCATATTATTAGAATATAATTACTAAGATTATAATTATATTTAGAGTAGGGCTGTGCAATTAATCGCATGCGATTGTCATGCGCATCTTGTCAGTAAAGCCGGTTCCGTGATTAGTAGTAAATCTCCATCACCTGCTTTCAGATGGAGCGGCATTTACTGCACAGAGCCATAGTTCACTGACAATTAGGCAATATCACGTTCATAATCGCAGATGAATTGCATTCGATTATGAATGCGATATTGCCTAGCTTGTCAGAGAACTACGGCTCCCCTTGTAACAAGTTCTTGCACCTATAATCGTATAAATCTGTACCGGTCGACACATTTTTATGGTTTCATAGTATATATCATCATACAGCCCAGATCTGCTGGGTTTGTTCGATTTTCAGTCTCTCTGTGATGTTTTATAAACTGCTCTTTGCAGAATCGGTGCTCCTCATTTATTGAGCTGTTCATTTCTGAGCTGCTCCAGTTCTGACTGATCCATTATTAGCCCAAATCACATCCATAAAACTCTCCCTTTTCATCATATCATCCCTCACATCCAAACATCTCAGATTATAGCCGGTGTTAAGACTGAACGCTCGGTAATTAACGCTGAGCAGCAGCTAAAGGAGAGTGTGTGTGTGTGTGTGTGTGTGTGTGTGTTACACAAGTTGATTTGCTGTGTGCATCACAAAACCAATTTAATATGTGATTATTTATAATATTATTTATGTAAGTAAGAAACCTGATGCTGTTGTTTATGATCACACTGTCCTTGTTGATATTTTCTTTTCACGTCACATTTGGTTCCAGCCGTACTTGAATCCTTGAATCACTAACTGTTATTTTAAGTTGCCTAAAAGGTCAAAATGCATAATGAAGGTGCAGCAGGCTACGCAACGAGACACTAAGCTTTCGTTATGGTATTTCGTTATGTAGTGTTGCTTACTGCGGCTGATTAAGACGAGCTTGAATAAATTCAACAGAGGTTGCTTTTATTACACATCACACCTGGTTTTGACAGAGTGTAGAAGGTGAATATAGCATCTATCAAGTCAAGCATGCTGGATTTCTGTCAGTATCACACGTCTCACCGGCCAATCAGGTGTCGATCTTTGTCGCACGACAGCTCATGTGTCAGTTCACTGCATCTGAACTTTGGACGGGCAAATTAATTTGACAGCCCTGGAGGTTTTCACACATTTTTTTTTAAGGTTGTGTGATTTGAGAGCCTTGTTGATGTCGATTAAAGGGTGTTTCTTCAGCTTAGAGAACTTTTATGTCCCAAGGGTGGATTTTTATGTATTGTTTTTTCTTTTGTTAAGTGAAGTTGCATTAACTGTCCTTGGAAAACATCTTTTTATGTTTTTTTTTTGTTTTGTAAAAACTATCTATCTATCTATCTATCTACTTATTTAAAATAAATGTATTTAAAAGTCATTTCATGAACAGTTTTATAAGTGAACCTTATAAAGTTAATGTATGTCATTTACAGTCTTGTCATTTTGTCAAATTATGCAAAAATTAGTTTATTTATTCATTTGCACCTTATAGCTTTGTTTGTTTTGAAGTTAATGTCATTTCTAGTCTAGCTGTAATTTCATCAAAATCCAGCCTTTTTCCAAAAAACCCTGGCGCCTAAAGGGTTAAGTAAAACTTATAAATATTTCATTTGTTTGTTTAATTTAGAAGTCATTTCATGAACAGTTTTGCAGCTTTTGCAAACACTGTAAAAACTCTATTTAAAATGCATTCATTTTTTTCACCTTACATTTTTTTCACCCTATAATTGTTCTTCACCTTATAACGTTTTTCACAAGTTAATTTGTCATTTTCAGTCTAGTTGCCATCTTGTCCATTTGCTCATGTAAAAATGTTCTATTTATTTGTTTATTTAAAATTCAGTCATTTCATAACAGTTTTGCACCTTATAAACTTTTTTTTTTATTTAATACTGCACCATTTCTAGTATATCTGCAATTTTGTGAAATTATGCAAAAAGTATGAAAATTGATTTGTGCATACTCAGGTTACATAAATGCTACCTTTTAAAATTATAAACGTTTTTTTATGTATTTGAAGAAAACCCTTGCTGTCTGAGGAGGCAGTTCTCGGCCTGCATAAGCTACAAATTGGTCCAGACCCTAAGTTTTACTGGACTAGTTGTTTTATTGGCAGGTCGATCTGTTTCTACATGCAGCAGAAACATTGGGTGTCATTTAATTGACAATTTGTGTTTTTTTGAATGATTTTCACAATTCATTCCACTGGCGTTTCATGAATGGGGGCCGTCACCTTCATCGAAACACACCCGTGACCTTCCTAACAGGCTTTGAACTAGCAGTACATTAAATATTAAACACATTGAGGATATCGATAATTACATACTTGCCAGAGTGCCGTTAACAGCCACATGAAATGAATCTTTGCCGTAGTACTAATGTGATATGGCCATGGCATGAAAGCCTTCATTATGATACTTTGACAAGCTCTTTTTTTCATACAAGAAAAGTACATCCATGCAAGAGCTGTAATCTCAGGCAATGAAAGAAGCTCGAGTTTTTAAGGATGATTATCATCATCCATTTGGCTTTGAATTCTCCCACCAGGACGTCAACACTGAGTGCCTTTGGAAATGACCTGTTCGGATTTGATTTTATTCTTTATTTTGTCTTGAATCCCATCCTGGAGTTCGCAGAAAGATCTAATGGACTACATAATTCATGAACTACCAAACAATTTCTCGATTTGAACCGATTCTCATTTTAATAAACCGACATCGATTCTAAAAGGAATAGAGCAGGGATAAATAAAAAGTGCTGTTAATTCACTCACCTTCAGGCCATCCAAAATGTAGGTGACTTTTTTTCTTCAGTAGAACAGTAAAGAAGAGTTTTATCTGAAATCGTGTTCCTTGGTGATTCATAAAATGCAAGTCAGCAACTGCCCCGTTTTTGAGAAGAAGAAAAAAAAAAAAAACTTTAAAGGAGCACAGAATTAACACCCGCGGCTTCTGACGATATATTGAGGTCTTATAAAGCGAAACGTTCGGTCTGTGCAAGAAACTGAACATTATTTATGACATTATTCATAACCTCAAACAGGCAAATCTGATTCATTTCTTTGAAATGGTTCCTTCGGACAACTCAATGAACTAGTTCAATTCACTAGTTTGTTTACATAAATACACAATGAGGTACCATATATAATATTACATTATTAATGTGTAATATATTAGCTATTAAAACACCCAATAATGGGAAGAATCGATCAATGTTTACAGTGGATGCATGAACAAAACCTAACGAAACATCCAATAAATCGCAAGAAGCTTTGTGCTTCGTTACTTTTCTTATTAAACAAAGTCTCCGCTTTCAAATTTGGTCACATTTTATTGAGAAATTCAAACAAAATGCCATTTTGGCGCCGTTTTATGTGGCAAGACAGACCAATTTAAACTACACATTAACCAATCATCTCTTCCTCTTATTAGTTATATGTATGAATGAACATCAGAAGGTATGAAAAAGTACAACTTACCTTAAATTATCTCATGTAATTAATCAATCAATCAGCGTTTCAACCGTGGAAAGACACATTTACCTCAGAAAAGCCATTCAGTGGCCATAAACTCGATAGTTGGCTAGAAAAATTAACTCTAGAAACATAAGTTTCCTGAATATGTGCACTATATTACACATTCATTATACTGTATTTTAACTGTTTGCATTATATTTAATATTTTAACCTGTTTCTTGTTTGAATAAATCTGTCATGAAAACAAGTTACTGTATGTTTATATTTCAACAAACTGGAGTTTTTCTCAGCATTAGCTGAGAGAAAAACCTGTACGTGATTGCCTGTATATCGAAATAAATTGTTATAGAATCAAACTGAATCAAGATCGAAACTGAATCGAATCGCAAGCTTGTGAATCAAAATATACTTTTCTATCTCTTTTTCATGTCTTTGTGAAACAGTTTTTCATTTATTACGCCTCTTTCGAGAATTCCCTTGCCATAATAAAAGTTTTCCTTCTTTTCCACCCCAAAGCTCTACATCCAGACCACCACGCTGACCATCTCCATGAATCTGTGCGCGTCCGTTGCTCTGGGAATGCTCTACATGCCCAAGGTCTATGTCATCATCTTCCACCCAGAGCTCAACGTGCAGAAACGCAAGCGCAGCTTCAAGGCCGTGGCGACAGCGGCCACCATGTCCTCACGTCTGTCGCACAAACCCAGCGACCGGCCGAACGGCGAGGCCAAAACCGAACTGTGCGAAAATGTGGATCCCAACAGTAAGTAACCACTTTTTATTCAGAGATAATTGTGGACGTTGGGGAAGATGATACAGTACATTTGCTCATGATGAATTCAGATGCCTTTATAGTAAATCTGGTGAACACTGAGACTGATGTGGTTAGGAAATTTGTCGTTACATTCATAAAAAGAATGTACGATTTTATTTTTTTATTTTTTTGATCACATGAGCGAATGCAAGTTATCAAAATAAAATAATGTGACTTTTCACAATTCACATTATTATGCATGTTTTCTCGCTTTTTGCACCTATCATTGCACTGTTTTATAATTAGCAGAGACCAATAATAATACATTTTTGAATCTAATTATTATAATAAACTGACAGTTTATTATTATTATAGTTATTGTAAAGCATATCATTATACTTTTTAGTTATATATTTTTTTGGTATATTAATGTACTTCAAAAATATGTATTTTAAAGGTAGCAAAACATCATAAATTGGAATAAAAAATCATTTATAATAACATGAATTAATAAGCCACAAAAATGATATACTGTATATATTATTGCTGGGCAATGATACATTTTTTTAATTGTGATTAATTACATGATTGTCTGCGATTAATCGCATTGTTATGCATCAAATTCAATAATGCAATCAAAAGTAGTGTATTGTGCACTTTTTTCATTTAAACGTACTGCTATATGAACAAAAGTGCAATAACATTTGGTTTGCAAACACTTTAAACAAATAAGGTGCTTTTTTACAGCAGTATTCCTTTTACATAGTAGCAGTTCAAATATTTCTTGTAAATCTCAACTTATAACATTAATGTAATCAAATTAAATATAAAACAAGCTATTTCCACTTCCAGAGCATTAACGTTTTTATAGAAAATATTTTATAGTTTGTTATAGAAAAACAAGTTATGCTCAGAGTCCAGAGCCTCGATCATAACATTTTAACAGACACCTTAGAGACCTGCACGATCGCGGGACCCAACGCAGCAGAGTGCGGCGCGGGACAACACTTGCTGGGGGTGCGGGTGCAGGCGGGTAGACACTTGTGTGTGCAGGATGCGGGAGAATAATTAGGGTGTACTCACACTAGGCAATCTTAACCATGCCCGAGCGCGTTTGACCCCCAAAGCATGGTTAGTTTGACTAGTGTGATCGCTCTGTGTGTTCGTTTAGCCGTCCCTGGCTCGGTTGGAAAAGGTGGGCTCGAGCGCGGTACGCATGTAGTGTGAGCGGAGTGCACATCTTCTGATACGTGTGCAACATGATTGTGTGAACATTTCGGAGCGGAAAAAGCTATATATCTGTAAAGCAATATATTGTGAGAGGGCTGTGTGTTACCGCGTCCCAAACGACTCAAAATAATAAACCACAAAGTTAACAAAACAATGCACTCCACTGTGCTGAGCGAGAGCGCTTCTCTGCTGTCTTCACGTGCTATCAGAAACTTCCTATTTCCCACTTATGAAGTCATGATTACGAGCATGTTGCGTTATTTTCTGTTTAAAATAATAGTGAACAGTGGTTTGTGAATGTTGATGCGTAGCCTAAATAATTTATTTGGGAGCATTCATGTGAGAGCTGCTGCAGTCTTAGTCCCACCCCAAATGCTCTCATTGCTTGAGATGCGTGATGACACCCATCCCACCCCTGCTGTGACCCATGGTTTGTCTGTATGTGTATTCAGAGCCAGTGAGCAACGGACTTTCATAATAATAAAAAACTGCGTTAATGCGTGATAAAATAATTGCCAGCTTTAATCAATTAATGCGTTCACGCGATAATAACGCGCTAACTTGCCCAGCCCTAATATATATATATATATATATATATATATATATATATATATTGTCATTGTTATAGTTATTACAATAAATAACATTTTATTATTATTATTATTGACAGTTTATATTGTATATTTATATAATATTGTATTTAACAACATTAATGTCATGTTTTTTTTATATTTTATATTTATAATGACTTGAATTAGTTTAATGAGCATCAACAACACTTTTCTTTTTCAACAACAATTAACCCTCTACAAAATCAGAGGATAATTCAAAAATCAAAGCTATAAGAATAAATTGTATAACCAAATGATCCATTAAGCATTAAATAATGTAAAAATGATCGTAAATGTGATAAATGAAAGTCACAAAGTTATTTATTTATTATAAATTTATTATGGTATATTACCAGAATAAAAAATTTATGTAATTAATTAATTCTAGGTATTTATAGATTTGCAAATGGGGTATGTAAAGTTCTAATAAATTAGGAGCTATCTGAGTGCTTATTATGAATGCTTATATCAAATTCACTTACAAATATGTAACCATTATCCCAGTCTTGACCTAAAAGTTGCTTTCCCTGCAGCCGGCGGGTGTAAAAGCGAGCTCATGTCCCAGAGTGCAGTGCTTGCTAGATTCATTGCAAAATGTCACCATGAGCTGATATTCTGTTGCTTTGGCCTGTTGCTTGTTGCAGCATGAGCTCGTGTCAGATATAATGGAATGAAGTCATCTGCTGAGAATGACCACATTTCCTCTAATGTACACGAGATGGTGAGCCGCACACCGCAGAGAGAAATAACATAGGACTGGTTTGAGCCCAGAGGATTAGCATGTCGTCACTGTCAAAGGAAAGCCATGGCTCTTTGAAAAGGCAAAGATGAAAAGTACTTTTGTGTTGTTTATGTGGCTTTGACTGGAAAAATCACAGGTCTTTGCAATCGTTCAGCTGGTTTTGGGTTTTTCAAATAACTACGGCACATAAAGAAGAACATATTGGGAAATTAATTACAAAAATGATGCCGTCAAGGCTTCTTTTCTGACAGTGGCGATGCTTTCCCACATTATTAGATATGCCATTCTTAGATGGGACAAATGGCATATCCAAAGTAACAGATCTAAGCTAAAATACACCCAATTTCAAACCCAGCTTGAAATTAAATTTCATGGCTGTTTGGACCAATCAGAAACTCTGCTTTGCTTCTATTGGACCAATCAGAAACAGCTCACCAAGTACTGTTTTTTTTCCCAACAGGCTAATTCTCATAATGTATCAGGTAAGACCAAATTAATCTTCTACCTTTGGTTATGACCTTGCTCACTTTCGAACGCTGGGGGAAAGGACGAGGTGGAAATACTAATCTACCAGTCTTTTGTGGCCATTTATCAAAACTTGATGACGATCACACAGTGTCATTCAAAAGCGCTAGAGAATGAAATCCATCTCAATCCTGTACTATTGCTGGGAAAATGGTACGTTTTATTGTACCATGCATATTTAGACATCAACAGTTAAGTATCAATATGCCCTAATTTTGTGTGAATGGACACTTTTGGCACCTGCACATTATCTAGTCCAATGCTCAAATCACTCCCATACGTGTTGTTCTCTGCGCAATAGTTCGTGCTGACACAAAAGTCACTTATTGCTTATTTTTTGTTATTGTTGTTAAATTTTACAGAGACAAATAGAATAGTAACACAATATTTATTGTTGTTTGAGAGATGTTAAGATTGTTGTGGGTAAGACTTTAAAAAAATGTGTTTCAATAAAAATTGTTTTATTAATTCAATGTTTTATTTTTTAAAAATTAAATAATAATAATTTTATATTAACAAAAAATATATAATTACAAGTTAGGAATATTTCCAATGAATAGTCCTTGCTGGTTAGCATTTTATTATTAGCATTTTATTTTAATTTTTTTACTAGCATTAAACATTGTTTTTATTCCTGTTGCGTCCCTACTGCTGTGCATTTCCCAAAAGCATCGTTAGCTAGCTATGGTCGCAAGTTCCATTTAACTCTGTTGGTAACAACGGAATTGTGACCATAGCTGCCTTTGGGAAACGCACCACTGATTAGCATTTTATTATTTGAATTTGGCATTGTTTTTATCCCTGTTTCAACCCTACTTGTTAACTTTTTATTATTAGCGTTTAGTTTTCTTTTTTGATTATTAGCATTAACCATTGGTTTTATCCTGTTCCATCCCTGCTGGTTAGCATTTTATTATTAGCGTGTAGCACTGTTTTTACCCCCTCAGTTGAAAAGTGAACTACAATAAGTTACCTTGGGTTTCAAATTGAGAAACTGACTCATTAAGATTGTCACTAACGGCCTTGTGCCATTTGACAATGTTACTATCAAATAGTGGGATTTAAAATTGTGGGTCAATTTAACTGTTTAGAAGCACATGAGAAAATAATGTCATAATATAGTCGGTATGGACATTTGCCATATATTCATCAATGGATGGAAATATCTAGGAAACAAAATTGAGATTTTAAAGGGGTGGGTTCAGTGATTTTTTTTCTAGGCTTGATTGTGTTTATGGGGTGCAGTCTAATACACATGCTTCGTTATTTTAAAAATGCATTATTTTTCATATAATTTACCTTTATTCCACACCACTCTGTCCCTTCTCTGGGAAACATGCTGATCATTTCCTTCTTTTATGAAGCCCCTCCCTCAGAATTAGGCGATGGGCTCTGATTGGTTAGCTAGCCCAGTGTGTTGTGATTGGCTAAACTGCCTCTAATCGTCCCGCCCCTCACCTCAGGGGCATGTGCTCCGGTGTATTGTAAACAACGGCGTCGTTAATATCGCTTATCAGTTTGAGCCCGATTGAGAAGCAGAGGATATTATTGAAGAGGATCGTGCAGAACCTGTGCAAGCACCGCTTTTGATGGTAGGCCTATGTTTTTTGTTTGTTGTCATCTCATACGTTTAGATACGCTGTTATTTGTAAATGCTACTGCTTATGTTAGATTTAATATATGGTTTTATCCTGATTAAAGCTTTAATACAGTACGGCAACTGCACGCTCATCCATGTTTAAAGCTTATCATAGCTATGAGAAAATAAGTGTATAATTGTAATTGTATCATTGTTGGAGCTGAGCTGAATGAGTGAGCAAGAGAGTGAGAGAGAGAGATGCAGAGTGTGTGCAGAGCAGGTGTCACAGTCTTCAGCCGGTGTGCCCAGGAGGGCCACCAGA